CCTTTGGAAATCAAGGTCCCAGAGTCTGGAGGAAGAGAGGAGACACATAATTCACATTGCTTGAGGTCCATTGTCAAGTTTCCACAGTCACTGGGGTGTCATGTCATCTGCTGGTGTTGGTCCACTGTGTTTTATCAAGCGCAGGGTCAATGCAGCTAGCTATCAGAAGATTTTGGAGCACTTCTTGCTTCCATCTGCTGAAAAGCTTTATGGAGATGAAGATTTCATTTTTCAGCACGACCTGGCACCTGCTCACAGTGCCAAAACCACTGGTAAATGGTTTACTGACCATGGTATTACTGTGCTCAATTGGCCTGCCAACTCTCCTGACCTGAACCCCATAGAGAACCTGTGGGATATTGTGAAGAGAAAGTTGAGAGACGCAAGACCCAACACTCTGGATGAGCTTAAGGCCGCTATCGAAGCATCCTGGGCCTCCATAACACCTCAGCAGTGCCACAGGCTGATTGCCTCCATGCCACGCCGCATTGAAGCAGTCATTCATGCAAAAGGATTCCCGACCAAGTATTGAGTGCATAACTGAACATGATTATTTGAAGGTTGGTGTTTTTTGTATTAAAAACACTTGTCTTTCATTGGTGGGATGAAATATGCTAATTTTTTTAGACAGGCATTTTGGGTTTTCATGAGCTGTATGCCATAATCATCAGTATTAAAACAATTAAAGACCTGAAATATTTCAGTTGGTGTGCAATGAATCTGAAATATATGAAAGTTTCATTTTTATCATTACATTATGGAAAATAATGACCTTTATCACAATATGCTATTTTTTTGAGAAGGACCTGTATACTTATTGAGTGAGAATGAGAAAGTCAAAAAGAGATTAAAAAAAAAAAAAACGTTTGTCCTTTGATAATAAAGGAGTTCTGTGCTGCTCTTTTCAGGGCAATGTTCTTGTTCATCAGTCATGTCTGAAAATTGATCTAATACAGGAGCAAATGATATTTGCAAGACAAATGCAAACTGGTAATCTGTCACTACTGTTATATCTGTCAATGTCAGGAGATTGTAGGTTAAACAGGAAGTGACTGGTTGTTCACATGAAAATGAAAGAGGTTTATCCCTCTAGAACCCAGTTTCATTTTGAGCCTCCTAAAACACCAATTCTATGTGAACGCCAAGCTGAAATGATAAAAAGCCTTTTACTTATACACAAAATACTGGTCCTGTGTGGATGGTAACTTGTGTACAAATCTGTCATGTTTATAACATTATTTCAAAGGATCTCAAAGTGACTCAGCTACACTTTAAATCTTCTTCCCACTTCTCGAAATATGTTTTTCAAACAGCAGAAGATGTCACAGATTCACTTGCAAATTCAT